CATCTAAAATCGCACCTTAGTTGCGTTACCATCTGAGTTTTGCCTGCTGGACTAGTCTGTGGACCGGTAGGGAAGATGACGGTCTGGGTCTAGTGTATAACGGAGAGGTTGTAAAACAAGTCTAGCCTGCCTGTCGCGTCTAGACGGCGCGTCGGATCCCTATCGGTTGCCGTAAAATTATGTGGCGTGGGTGGGCTGTGCAGCGCCATAGGATTTCCGGTTCAATCCGATTACTTAATCTAATTTTTGGTCAAAACTTTCGCTACACTTGATATATGCATAAGTATTTTTATCGACGAATAGGGTAACAGATACTTTATCTGGATAACAAAGACGGTGGATTTTTCTGATTCAATATTATATAAGTGCCTAAATGGCAAAATTATGTATAATAAATATGTAAGTACTTCGATGGTTTCCTATTAACAAACAATTCGTTAGCAGGTAGGATTAGAGAAACGTACCGTGTTTCGAAGCGGCCATAAATGCAATTAAAAGTTTACAGCTCCTGTATCATTTTCAAACCTGTTATTTTCACATTTCAATGCTTAGTTGGTATACCTAATGAGTTTTTTTTTTATTAATTCCATACTTAGATGCCATTAATTTACCAGAAAAAAACTGCGGATGCATACTGAAAACCTACATACTGACTGATAGAAAAATAAGGATATTACATTAAAAATGAGAGAGAGTGAAGTAACGAATAGTTAATTGTGTTGTTTTAGTTAACTCCCCTTAGTTATCATGCTATTGTTTATTTACAATAATTAAGGTTCTAAAGCCAAAGTCCCTCAGAACAATTTCTATTGAATTGTTGTTTCCAACTTCACAAATAAAAGGTGAGTTGGCTGTCTGTTGGTAAAGATCTGTCTGCTCGTATGCCCCCTCTAACTAAAAAAAAGAGATGTTAGCGTAATATTTAATAAGAGTAGATCATATTTTCTCAAGGTGCCAGGTTAGATTCAGGTGAATGCACTATCAATTAGGCTCTACAGATCCTAATGGAATTATTGAATTTCTTCAAGTACCTACAAATTTCTTAGGCTGCAAATCATCGCAATTTCTTCATATTATAATTACTTAGGCAATTGGAACTTCATTCATCAAGTAATCAAGTTTACCTACTGCATTGGCACATTACTAAATAATAATTTTCTAAGATGGAGGGTATCTTCCAATTTCTTCCCAACTTGTGCTGCAATTTCAACTGAATAATACTTCAATTTATCAAATTTGTTCAAAGAATTTATCTCATTCACTTCACCGTTTAATTAAGAGATACTCGCTTGAATGGCACATAGATTTTATATCGCGCCGCGCGCCATCGCCAATCTGCACCCGACGATCCAGATAACGGACGTTGAAAAAATTAACATTGCTGCAACAAAGAAATCTAGATCATACGGACAATGCGCTCTTTATGAAACTCGTTAGTAATTTGAGGTGTTAGCGCCTTTTCCCGGTGTGAGAGTCGTGGTAAATGGCGAAACTATTTTACAATGGGACGTGACTACCAGCGCGGAGTCGGTCGTTGCAAGCGCGTATGCGATGAAGCAGACGCAGGTCATCGCGCTGTGACCTTTCACCGTCTCCTGCGCAATGATACCGCATGTGAGTAAAAAAAACACAGAGGGAAAGCTTGATGGAGAGCGCGTGAGTGAGTATAAGCACTGGCGGCCGTCGCGTACGCAGAGAAACGTTTCCATTGGCGGCGATAGGCAGCCAGCGCCCACTCACACACGCGCACTGCATGAAACTTTAGCTTCTGTGCCTTCTTTATTCACGTGGTGATACTGCATGTTTACTTCACACGTTCCGGTTCCGATGAAGCCTTAGAGGCATTCCCGGCCAGAGGTAGCCCCTACGGGTTTTTTTAGTCAGTACGAGTCTGACACAACACCCGCTCCCCCACCTGGGAAGAAGCAAAAAAAAAGCGAGAGGTCTGTATGGTAGTTAAAATGCGTAGATAATACTGGATTACTTTTAACTGTACACTACAATATAAATACATAGTAGCGCAGCGCAGCTCATAGAAACGAGAAGACACACACGTAGAAGTAAAACTCGACCGTTTAAACAATTAAGTTCTTCCGACATTGGCAGAGATTTCGCACGTATGCGTTCGCCTGTTTCGTTATATTCTTAAATTCATCTATTCTGTGGTTATAGTTACTGGGAGCTTGTATTACTTTGTGTTTGCACTTTTGGCAGTTACTACCCAGCAAGGCGTGTGAAAACGCACGTATTGTCCTAAGACGTAAATAAATTATCTTAATTATTTTGTACGACATCTAATTAATTAATGTCTAATTTACTAAACGAACAATAGAAACAGTTTTTTGCTAACTAATGTATATATATATATATATATATATAATTATATTGAGTATAATGTGTATTGTTATTTACAGCTATCCAAACCGTCGCTGAATAAAGAATGTTTGATTCAAAAGGACAACCCCGGACTAAAAATTGCTTACATATTTATGAAACTATGAAAGAAACGGAAATCAGAGTTGTATATCTTGTTCGGAGGAACATTCAGAAATGTATAAATAATTTTAAAGTAATCGCTAGTAATCTGTTGGTGTTGTTATTTATTACATTTGGAAATCTTCATCATAAAATAAACGGAATTAATCGTTTTCTTAATTCAATTAATCAAAAGCAACATTGGCGGGACCGTTTACTCAGCATCGGCAACAAAGGCAGGCCGTTTTCCGCTGCGTCCGTATCGCTTAATTATCGGGGTGAGTACTCCACAAACGGTACGGTGTTTCGGTCAGAGAGGGATGATTATAGTTCAAACAATGTTACTACGCAGATGTTTTCCTTATATGTTCATGGGTTATTGACATGTCAAGAATTGATTGTATCTATAATGACAGGAAGTCAATGGATATTTATTACTAACTCAGGCTTAAAGAATATCTACATAACTTTATGTTCACGCTATATATCAAAGTGACATGGATTTGGTATTAAAGTATATAGTTGAAGGAAAGTAATTCTAAAATCAGGAAAATAAAGAAGGGTATAAATTGTAAGTTACCTTTTTAATTTGGTCGGTTACACACAATACAACAGTAGAGCATCGTCATATATGTATGAGCTAAGTGCAAAGCATAAAAACAAGTTAGGAGTTGTTAGTCATCTAAGGACCTAGGAGCGTTGCTTGGGTAATTGCCTATATAACTAGGAATAGTAACAAAGCTAGACGCTAAGACCAAACGTATTTTTATTCCTAAAGTCAGTATTACCTGACAAAAATCAAGGGCCTGGGTTTTGTGGACCCAAAATAGTCCAGGGCGTAAGTATTTTCTGAAGCGTGAAAATTATTTTCAGTGGAAAGAAGACTAGATGGTAAAGACAACCACCTTATAGTTGTGCCCATAAGAACCGCAGCTTATTTATTTTCCTCCTGCATTGGAGGAAAAAACCACTTAGTTGGTAACACCGGTGAAGTGAGACTCTTAACAAGTAGTAAGGTTACTTTTAGTGTGATATGAAATGAAATGAAATATTTATTAAAACCATAACAAAGATACAATGACAATAGTGATCGATAATAACTGCATTAGTTATAAAACTGTGTCGCAGTTATTAACGCCCACCTCCAGAAATCAATTTTTGCTACAATAATTTAAATTTTAATCTTAATCCTAATTTAATATTAAAACAGAAATTAAATGCGTGTTAGTGTCTTATTTGTGTGTATGTATTTGAGGGTGTGTGCGCGTGTGTGTGTGTGTGTGGGGGGGGGTGTGTGTGTGTATGTGTGTGAATGTGTGTCTGTGTGAGAGTATGTATAGCCCAAATTTACACTACATGATCAGGCCAAACCCAATAATGTACCAAATAATGCTTCTGTATTAGCCTTACAATAGTTTCTGAAACTACCTATTTAATACAAGCTTTTACTATCCGCCCGCGAAAGTCGAGCATTTGACGTATTCGATAAATTCTCTAGTGCAGCATTAATTGAAGTTAAATGTTTATTATTAATTTTAGTTGTAAATTTATTTTAGGCAGGTAGCTTTATAATTACCATATTGGCCTTGGATATCGTAGACACTTTATGCTTTTGGGATCTCAGCAAAGTAAGTACACCTGACTATTTCCATCGCCTACGCAAGTGATATTTGCCAGAGTAGAGTTGCTAACTAATTTGCTAATGAATATAATTTGTGGAATCAGCTAACCTCAGATCACATGTTCCTCCGAAACTTAATAATTATGTAAATTAAGATAGTGGTTCTGGTAAAAATCTTAATATAAAATTCTCGTGTCACGGTGTGCGTAATTAAATTACTCCGAAACGGCTCGACCGATTTTCATGAAATTTTATATGCATATTCAGTAAGTCTTGGAATCGGACAACATCAATTTTTCATCACCCTAAATTTTTCTTTTCGACAAAATTTTTTGTTTTCTTTTTTTTATGATACATCATATAACCCTAAATTTTCACCCTTCTACCACCAACCCCTATGTTTTTATGGCGGTACGAAGTTCGCTGAGACAGCTAGTACTTAATATAAAAATATTCTCCCTGAGTAGGTATGATATGTAACATACGATTTTAAGTATTTGGTACAAAAAAATAAACTTCGGATTTCAGTAGGTAACTTTTCTGAAATGGTTCTTATTTTAAACCGCTCTTTTTTGCTATCATCCTACAAGTGATCATAGGAAAACGTTAATTTGAGGTAAACAGGAAATGACAAAAATAGTCTTTGTGTCTTCGTTACGAGATTTGTGGAATGTGGATCCGTTCCTTAGAAATTCTCGACAAATAACGATAGCCCAAGAGGTGCGTAATGAAAATTCGGCTGTACAATACGCAATCTTTCAGCCATATTGGGCCCAAAGTTGATAAATTACACGGTCACTGCCTTTTGATTAACGTTTGTAATTATTTTTGCCCGTTGATTGCGGCTTCGGCTTCGAATTGATACTACACTAGTAAGAGGAAAACATGTGATGTAGAGCACGAAATGGGAGGGAATAAAGTCGTATTGTTTGTGCTGATTACTGCTATGAATTACGTGAGTTTGAAATTAACACTGTTTTTTATACCTGGGTGACCTGCAGTGACTGTTACCTACACATGCCTGCGTTATATATCGATTGCTAAGGAATGAACAAGTTGTGATCAACCTCAGTTACCTGTCAATATCTATTTCGTATTATTCTGAGGCACGCAAATAGGTATTCCGTAATTCACGCGCTTTAGGTACCCTGATTACAGTACAATGTTGCTGCTAGTTATTAGAAAAACCATTGTGCTGGGGCGTCATTGCAGTATTATCGAAGATTTAATATCCTATCTCTATTTTTTTATATTTATAGCATAGCAGCAACGTTTTCAAAGAATATTAGGCTTTTTATATCGCGCGCATTAAACGAGAAGGTACTTATTACTTTAAACATGACAGAACATTTTGTAGAATCCAAAAAAAGGAAAACTCAAAAATAACCTCCTGTCTTTAATTTCATTATACTTTACGCGTGTTACAGTTGCTACAGATCCATACAAATTTGCTTCACTAACCCGAGCTACATTTCGTGCAAATGGGTTACTCGAGTCCGAGATAATGTTGATCCCACTTCTAGTTGTTCTCGTAGTTATCTACTTATCACTTTTAAAAGAAATATTCCAATGAGTGGGTTCTTCAAAAATTTTAAGATTATCATGCAATCTTACTCATCTTAAATACTATATCCAGATTTGCTCAGCACATCAAAAGGCGCTTAGAAATGGTGGTAAGTTATTTCTGCTTTTATTTATTTTCAGTATCAGCCTATTAATGCCCTCACTGTTGGGGCATAGGCATGTAACTACAAATTTAGTGTACATTGATTATATTATGATGTGCACGATATACCTATGATCTACCTATACGGCTGTCAAGACCTTAAGTCCTCTTAGTATCGAAGTAACTTGTTAACAGCACTGTATTGTGCACGCGTTTCTAATAAAAATAAAGATTATATATTTGGATATATATATATTTGGATTCTAAATAAAAAAAATGGATGCGTGTAACTTATGTACGCGCGTGAGAAGTTATACTTCTTTAGCATCATTAAAAATATTTTTAATTGCATGCAAATAATTAATAATTACAATAAAATAATAAAAGGACTGGAAAAGGATAGCTAACAGAGTCAATTAAGTTCAGTTTTAATTTGAAAAATTAAATAAATATTCAAAATATTCAATTAAAATCACTACTGAATTTAAGTTATTAGTCCATATGTAATTAGCACTTGTAAGTAACTAAAACACGTTGTGTCTATATAGAAACTAGAAACATGTGGATAAATATTATAAATATGAAAACAGTGATCAGAGGCGACGAGCGTGCCAACATTGTTTTTGACAACGCGATCATCTTATGGAGCTCCGTGGATCGTTCAAAGTACCTTTCGAACAGATGTCTAATAATGGTGGATTATTAACCACTAAGTGGTTAATAATCCACCATTATTAGACACTAACATTCATAACGCGCCCGCGGCCAACTTCATGGTGTTACTATTGTGTTACAGTGATGCGCGCGCATCTCGAAATTTCACTCACATGATTTTTTCATGACGCGCCCGCGGCCAACTTCATGCTGTTACTTTTGGGTTACAGTGATGCGCGCGCATCTAAAAATTTCACTCTCATAATTTTTTCATAACGCGCCTAAAGAAGTATAACTTCAACAGTTACTCCGTCAAAGCCTTTGTGGATAGATGAAAGAACGGGCCACGATCCGAGAACGGGACCGAGTAGTCTTGGTCTCAGTATAGATTGGTGGGTGCTAACGACTGCAGATGCAGTCGGGACCAATTGCTTAACGTGTCTTCCGAATCGGGTTCCCTCTATCTGGCTGAATGTTGTTGCTCCGAAATACATTTAGCACAACACACTTGGTATTATCTTCTTTTTAAGCGATTATATTTAAGGCATATTTTTAAGTAAACATAATTATTGTTTGGCCGAATGTTTATATGTCCTAATTCACAATGGCATCTTTAGCAAAATTGAATTCTGCATAATTTCATTAAGTAATATTTTTTATTTATGTTAATTGGTTAGGTTAGGTTAGTGTTGTACCTGAATTAAGCGCGAGCCGAGCGGGCGAAGCGATCATGCCGCGATAGCGACCGGCGGCGAAGCGCCAGCCGAATCATAGATAAATAAAAAAAGGAAAAAGTGAAATATTTGTACGCTAAAAGACGATTCTGTCTGTGAACTTTCTGCGATATAATGGTTCTGCTTTTTAATTATTGTTGATATTAAATATATATATACCTCAAGATGATTCTGGGCTACAAAATTAAGCGTTTGAATGTCTGAAATGTTAATGAATGAATGTGCATGACCGACTCAGTGTACTAACCACCGCGCCTTTGTGCTCCTCAGGCTTTTAATGAAAGCAATACCTATTGGATAAAGTAATATATATATATATAATATTGTTTTTGTATAAAAAAAATCTAATATTAACGCAGTATATTTAAAGGTGCCAAAGATTCTATTAAAAAGTGATTATTTTAATTAAATAATATATTTTCGTGTCTTAATTCTCTACTGCTTACTTATTTAGGAAAAATATGAAAATATGTGATTTCGGTTGATGATTGGAAGTGTAATCACAACTGTTCCAGTAATAACTATCCAAGATGATGATGAAAGTGGCGCCAACGAGAATGATGAAACTATTAATGGTGATAATAACAAACAAGGTAATATCCAACAAAAAATTACTTATTTGAAAAATGATTAAATATTTTATTTACGCTCTTTTCGAGTCTCTGCAACCTGCTTTTTTTCTTTTATTTGGCATAATAGAGCTTTTTTGTCTATTGGCATGGTGTAACAACCAGCGTTTTGTGAATATCATAATTACTTTTAAATGATATCCAGCTTCTTCTGCCAGTACTTCTCTACAATCAACAGAAGTTCTAAATAATTGGTAGGAAAGAAAAGTTTGCAATTGTTCAAATGTTGTATTTGACTCAAAATTATATTTTATTCATAAATTTCACCTATCAGTCGCTTTTAAATCTTGCATTGTCGATATTTCTCTTTATCAATTACAAGAAACTTCACCTGGCTCCGGCAGGGTACAAATACTGATGAGAAAGTAAGAAATATTGAGATCAATACAAACACCCTACCCTTCGCTAATATTCGGATTTTCTAGTGGTCTGTAGTGGATTTACGAGATTTTTTTCAAATATAACTTGTTCTGAGAATGACAAATACAACAACAAAATAAATTTCTAAATTCCAGCATTCCTCCGAAAAAATGTTGAAAATTAACCCGCACATGGCTTTATATTTAATTCGTTTTTGTGCGTTCGCCCCAAAATTTATATATTTTTTACGAAGCACTCATTTTTGGCTTTTTCCAGGACAGCTGGCAATTATTGACAATTCGCTCAGAGAGACACTCTCCAAAATTTTAAACTGTTCATTTTCAGATAACGCTTGGAAGCAGGCCTCTCTCCCTGTTCGTTTCGGAGGTCTAGGTACTCGTCATATTTCCCATATTGCCCTTCCCGCTTTTCTATCTTCTGCATATGGTACAGCCGAGCTCTTTAGTAAAATACTATGCCCGTCTTTGGGTGTAGTGGAGTTGGCTCACCTTGCAGAGGCTAGAAACGCTTGGTCTAGGGCATGCCCGGGAGTGGATCCACCAACCTCTCTATCTTCTCAGAGACAGTGGGCCGAGCCGCTCTGTTTGCGTTTTCAGAGTGATCTTTTAGCTTCTTCTGAAAACGCCACTGAGCGTGCTCGACTACTAGCGGTCTTTCAGGCAGAGTCTGGCTACTGGCTGCAAGCTTTACCTTCAGCCAGTATCGGGACTTTGCTTGACAAGAGCACTCTGTCTCTGGCAATATCGCTTCGACTTGGTGTCAAGACGAATCATCCCCACCGTTGTCGTTTAGGTGCTCGCGTCGGTGAGTTGGGTCACCATGGTCTTTCATGCCAAATGAGCGCTGGCCGAGTCTCCCGCCACGCCTGCATCAATGACGTCATCCGCAGAGCTCTTGTCGCAGTCAACGTGCCAGCGGTCCTTGAGCCTAGCGGCATCTTTCGTGACGATGGCAAGAGACCTGACGGAATGACGCTCATTCCGTGGAAGCAGGGTCGCCCTCTTGTGTGGGACGCAATTTGCGCGGATACGCTTGCTCCGTGCCACACAGAGAGCACCTCCCTTGCTGCGGGTGCGGCGGCGGACTCTGCTGAATGCTCTAAACGGCGCAAATATTCAGCTCTCAATGAGAACTATATATTTGTGCCGTTTGGTGTTGAGACCATGGGCCCATGGGGTCCAAGTGCTCGTTCCTTTTTTAGGGAAATATCAAAGAGACTCACCGAAGTTACTGGTGATCAAAAGGCTGGCAGCTATCTTGGTCAACGGATCAGCCTTGCCATTCAACGTGGCAATCGAAGTTACTGGTGATCAAAAGACTGGCAGCTATCTTGGTCAACGGATCAGCCTTGCCATTCAACGTGGCAATGCTGCCAGCCTATTGGGCACCATCCCTGACGGCGGCGATGGGGGTGACTTATTTTTTATTTTGTAAATAGGATGTTATTTATAAATAGGTTTAGGAAATTTGTATTTAAATATTATTTATTTCTGTACATATATAATTAAAAAGTTTTACAACAAAATAATTATTTAATTTTGTGCAGTGTTTAATGGATTATAAATTTCGTTTTTTTTTACATAGTTACACATTTTTTTTTAATAAAAATCGTTCGTTAGTGTTAAGTAGGTATTAAGTTCAAATTCGAACTGACTCCAAGGGTGATGATCTAAGATGCCGTTTTGTTACTATAGATGACAGTTCCACATCAGCTGAAGCTTTACCAGCAACAGAAACACTCATTGAAATAGGTAAGATATTATTTATTTGTTTCTTAGGTTTTCACGCACATCACTCATTAAATTCATTCTGACGACGAAGCCTGGAAAGGCTACGAAACGTCAATAAATAAATAAAGTTTCGTGCATTATCCCGTTTAAGATATTATTTCTATATAAATACTGACATTCACTATCATAAAAAATCTACTTTTTTCTATTACATAAAAAGTGAGCATGACAATGTATAACGAAGGCCGCACTGAGGAGTACAGTTCATTTATTTTCAAAGATACTCTTTTTTGGAAATATTATGTTTTTGCATAAATATGTTACGTTTTCAGATGACAGGGCAAGACCTTTAACTGTTGGTAAGAAAAAGATAACTCAAATAAATTATCCAATTCTTATATTTAAAATAATGATATATTTATAATAGAATACTTACTTAAAGCAAAAGCATGCTGTTTTGAATTCAAAAATAATATTTAGTACCCTGAAAATTAAATTTATAATATGTATGTACTCGTATTATTTATTTTATTTAAATTATTTTGAGACTCACTTTCAGATTCATTCTGATGTTCAATTAAGCTATTTTACATACATAAACGTCTAATGCGCAAGTTTATTTGTCTCTAGTTTTGCTTGAAAATGATGGCCGCTATAGGTAGACCGCTTAACCGAGTTCTTGCCGCGCGGTAAAGGGCGTGAGAGGTGCGGGCGGCAGGCACTTCTTGTTAAAATTAAAAGCGCCCGCCGCCCGCACCTCTCACGGCCCCCTTTCTCGTCCATCCCCACACCCTTTACCCCGCAGGCGAGGACTCGGTTAAGCGGCCTACAAGTATATTTTTTTAATAAAATTTTTGCTATGCCTAGGTGATATTTTCACTACATCAGAGTTGCTACCAGTAGCAGAAAAACTCATTGCGAAAGGTAGATATTATTTTCTATAAAGAAGTCGATGCATTAACTTATTATAAAAAATACTGGTGTATTTGTACTGGATTTTTATATTTCAGTTGAAAATCCAGGAAGTAAGTAAACATAATTTTCAAATCCTTTCATTATGATAGAACACGTTTATTATACGATTTCATTTTATATTTCAGTGGGAAAAGGCATCGTTAGTTCATCCAAGAGTCCCCAACATTTGGCGGACAAACTTTTTGAACAATTCTGTGAGAATCCCTATTATAGCATACAGTAATTTATGTTTGTAATCAGAAATTATTATTTCAGAGTATCATTGTTTTATATAATATATTTCTTTACAGTTTTAACAAATAAGAGGATCGTAACGCTAAGTGGTAAACAAATTTTACTATTGCAAAGTAATTAAATTGAATCATTGACATATTTTAACGACGCTTTTAACATAACATATTCTCTAATTAAACACTGCAAGGTTCAGTTAATGGTCCATGTCTGGAATTTATAGTTTTAGCAAAAGATTCAATTCAATAGATTTGTGAATATTTAAATAATGAAACTTAAGTTAAAAGCCCCAAATGATTTAAAAGTAAATGATTTGGTAGCAGGGCAGGCGAATAGTGATGACAAATATTTAAATTTAAAACAGCTTTAATGGATTTATTTTTATTGTAGGCATTTTTGGATGATCATTATAGAATAAAATAATTAAGTAACTTTTACTTGAAAAAATAATCCACTCGATTCATTCCTCCCGTCTGAAACTAGACGAAGTGGATTTTTTTCTAGTAAAATTTTCTTTATTAACTTAATGTTTTTTTTTTGTTATTGTAGCTTTTGATATAAGTGGTTTAGATGCTCTACAAGCACTAGCTCTCAGCGGAGAAGGTACTCAATATATCGGTTTCATTTATCTTCTTTATTTTACATATCTAAATAAATTCATATGTAAATTCTTTTTTAGCTGCGTACCTCAGATCTTATATTGATTCAACTGTCGAACAAGTAACTATGATTGATTATAAAGGTAAGTTTATTGAAATAAAAAGAAACATTTGTCAATAAAGGCAACTAAAAACGATACTAATTTTATTATGTGCAGGTCAGAATATTGCTGTGAATACTGAACCAAAGAAAAGTAAATATCGATGTAAGTATTACTGAACAGAAAACCTTCTCTCTTTCCTACAATCTGGCTTCATTTTAAAAAGCATTCCAGCAGGCCGGCAAGGTGAGGATGGTCGATGTGGCAATTCATAACTGCTGCACCTGCTAATATCTTCGCGTCTGAACTTTACCACCTCTTAACATCGAAAGTGGTAGGAGTCATTTTTCTACGTAGTTATAAAAAATAGCTTAAAATGAACTTTATGAAACAAATAAACATTTATATAAGAGAAAGATTGACAACCCTTAAATATTTGACTACTTCTATACACAACCACAAGCATCTTGAACGTTTTTACGTCTGTTGAGTGGAAAATATTTCAAGGCATTTTATGGAAAACCGACCAGTTTCACAAAAACTGTATTTTTTTTTTCAATCGATCTTCAACTCTCAGGCTTTGATATTTTGTTCAAGGTCGATATGGAAAATTTAACACTAAGTGGTTAACCAACGTGAAGTTAAATATACAGTCGAGGCCAAGTTTGCAATGATGATAGATAGAGCCTTTACAACTTAGCATTAAGAGTGAAATTAGCAGAGCAACTATGTCCTCTGTCATGACCTTGAATATACTGTAAATATTAGTTCGTATTACTTTCAGTGTTGCTAAAGAATGGGAAACCCAAGTTGAAGAAAAAGATAGCTTTTCAAAAAAGAAATGAAGGTAATTTATCGACATTAAATTAATCTATTATAAATATAATGATTGTATAAAAAGTACTTACATATTATTTAATCACGCAAAACGGCTAAACTGATTTCGCATTTTATAGGAATAGCAATTTAGATTGGACCCTTAATAAACTCATAAAATACTCATTTTATTGGTAAAAGGATCCCTAGTTCCAAAGTCAGCTATGCTGTTTGTTTAAATTATATAATAATGATTTTTAACGTATTCATATAAAAAGTACTATATTATCTGGGTATTAACTACTCATATCATAGAGTAAGATCCCAAGACCGCCTGACCTTCCTTGTTTTCTAATGGACAAAATATGGAAAATCAAGTAGTATTAGCGTGTACAATGAACGAATACATACCCGCTTACTTCTGTTGTGGGCCAATTTTCAGGTATCAGGTGGCACAGGAACATAAAGTTTTTTCTATTATTATTATACTTTGTATGCTGCCAGGCCAATCTTAGGGGTCAAAAATTCCCTAAACTTCTTTAAAATGCCACTGTGAAAAAAGTCGCGCTCATGGTAATTAAGTGCCTTGTTAATACAGATTCATTAAAGTTATCTTAAAAATAGTGTATAGTTAGCCTTTAACAATAAATAAACAATTTCTTATTAACTAATTATGTAAAATATTGCAGAAAAATTATAAGGTGTTTTTTGCTTACTATATTAAATATCTGGCAATAAAAACTGTTGACAGAATGTGTCTGGCAGTATTCATTTCAAGTTGTTTACAATATTCTCTACAACATATGTATATGTAAGAAACAGTCCTCAGACTGTAAGTAAAATGAGTAAAATTAAAAAAAGTTACTTGCCTGTGCCACCTGATGCCTGAGAATTGACACACAGCACAAATTAGCGAGTATGTATATTTTCATTGTACACACTAATACTACTCGATATTTTATCCATTATAAAATAAGTAAGCTCTGGCAGTCTTGGAACCTTATACTATCAAGTACTTATTGTTTTTCAATTATCTAATTCAAGATTTAGTTAAAGAAGCAAAAGCAAAAAATCTACTGAGAATGGCTCTGAAGGTGGTACAAGATTCTAGAAACGGTACACTCAAAAAAGGACCTATCAAAATTAATGCAACGAACAGATCTAAAGTAAATAATATAAAGAAAGATATCAAAGGTAGCTATACCCTTTTTATATAAATTGTTCTTTACTGATTCTGGTAATGGTGCTAAAACAGAGTTTGATCGATTTATTGGGATTAGGCCTCTCGTTCAATCGCAGCGTATGAATAAAATGCCTACTGATTTGGTTTTTATGATATTTTTTTTAATATCGTCCAACCTTTTTAGTGTCTCTCGAACATTTTTAAACATGTTGGAATTGCAAAATTACCTTTATTGTTTTATATGATTTGGAAGGTATACCCAATTGGTATTTTTATTAAGATTAAATAAATCATTCCCACTGGATAATATCGTAGCTTTAATATTTTACAATAAAACAATATTACTACAGTAGTTCTTCTAAAAGTAGTCAAAATGGAGACAACAAGAGAAGAGAAGGGAATATTAAGAATAAAAAATGCTGCATGCAAAAATGCGTACGTTCTCATTAACTCATTTAACGTTTTATTAAGTAAAAACAGTGCCCAGGAGTATAGATGTTCTTATATAATTATCGATAAAAAAGCCACAGTACCTAATAACCCACTATAGTTGAAGTTATTAAATAGATTAATGCTTTAAATCATAGTCTATTCTTAGGAAAACCTTTTACGATAAAATGATATTACTAAACATTTTAACTGAGTATATTGAGTTGTAAGTATTTTGGAAAAATAAAAACTACCCGTAAACTCACTAAAGATAAGTAAAAAATATACAGCCTTTTTGTTGAAAACGTTGGACGGGGACTGAATAAGAATGCTCTTCGCACGTGCCTGCTTTAAAGTTGCACTCCTTCTGAACGGAAAATTGCATTCTAAATCATGCAGTGGTGACTATATTTGGTCAGAACCTGCTTCTTTAAATGTTAAAGGCTGAATTATATCAATGGAAATATAACGGGGTATTTTAACGATAGAAATATTACTAAGAAACAAATATAGAAATATTCTTCAATAAAACAATTTTTTTATATCATAGGGAATCCCAAAGGACCATCAAAAAGTAAACTTAGAACCAATAAAGTTACATCTAAGGCAACTGCTCAGGAGCTAAAAGGAGGTAGGAACCTTCTTAACATGCTAGTTTTAAGTTACGCTAATCCGAAACACGCAATCAAATAAGTTAAGTCACAACCGGCTACTCTAACCCCTTTATTAATAAACGAGAAATAAGCTGAGACTAGTTACACCGTGTTTTGTTCATTCACTAAAATGTCATTTGTCATTCAAAAGACAGAGACAAGACATGGAGTAACTAACTCATGCTTATTCTTAGTTTATTAATAAGGAGGTAAATGTATTAGTCTATTGCCTATTGTAAATACGTTGGTTGATAAGCATTTTGAAAATCATAAATATTCATATTCTTAAACAACTTGAATTATTGTATTAAAGGGAAACCTAAAGGACCACCAAAACCTAAACTGAGCACTAATGAAGTTAATTCTAAAGTAGATGCACAGAAACCAAAAGAAGGTAGGTACCTTACAATATATAAGAACTGATTAGATAATTTAATATAATAAGTACTTTTATGTAATAAATTTAATACCCTCCTTTAAACAAGAGTAAATTATATGAAAACTTTTTAGACATAATAATGAATGTTGAAACAGACGAGCAGATGAATTTTAGAAAACTAGGTACTAATACAAAGGTATATCTAATCCAATGTGTTTTTAATAAAATTAAGGCATAGCGGATTGCCCGCATGAATTGGAGCTGTCACGGACCTGACTCCCACTAGCAAACCTGATGATGAGCGGGAACTGTTGAATCAGCAGATTACCATATGCCTGAACTTACCTCGCCGCGTACTTAGTCTACATTTCCTAGTGCGTAGTATTGCACTGTTTTTTTCTTGTTTTTTTGAACTCCTTTCGCTTGGGACCGCATAACAGAGCGCTCTTTTGCGAGGAAACCCTTAATCTTACCACACAGTAAAATAATCCTCTTGATGGTATTGTGATTTTGATAGTGAGTAAGGTTCCAGGACTCCATTGGTATTAGATTCAAACCGGAAAGTTTGGTGACACATTTTCCTGTCGCATTATTTTCACGACTGGACACATCAGATGAGAAACAAGGTAATTCTCTGCGCCTTACGTTTATCCGATATATAATATTGAAATGTATGATTTCAGACAAAATTAAGAAACCCTTGTGCACCTGGAAGTACGTGTGCTCAGATCCGTCCGAGTTGGACAGTTGTAAACTTCAAACCGAGTGCAACAAACAATATAGGAAGGACGCAAGGAAAGACTCCATCGATGGTATTTTTTTATTGAATATAGTGACCCACCCTAGCTTTGCATGGATGAAATTAATTTTATCAATAAAATATGATTGTGTGTGTAGTCACTCAAGAAAATTGCAACTTTAAAGTAACTTAGATTTTTTAACTCTTTAAACATTACCCTTATTACCACAAAAAAAGTTAGAAATGCGTTCAACACGAGTTTGAGAAAAAATCTCATACAATATTAACCTAAACAAGGTTTGAAACCTTGTGTACCTTTTTTGAAGTAAATAAATAATAAAAAAAACAATGCAAATTAAAATTGATGCGATTTTATGAAACGTGAAACTTTTAAAGTTTTTTACATCTCACACTAAAATTTTCAGAAAGGTATTCGTAGTTGATGTTAGTTTAGCTTATAAAGGTGGAATAAAGTCTTTCCTCGGCTGGGAATCCAACCCGGGCCGCCCGCGTGACAGGCGAGCTTACTACCACTGAACCAAAGATTCTCGTTGATAAGGTCTAAATTATGTAATCACAATTAAAAATGTAATGCGACATACGACAGACAATTTTTTTTTGCGAATGTTATAAAAGTTTCACTTTAAAAATATTAAGGCCAGCAAAGTAGATAAAACTTCCTTATCTTTTAATCTGGATCTAATCACATACCTCCACAGAGTGATACAATTTCATTTAGATCGGTTAGGTACGAAGTTGCCAAATTTTATAGAGCAAACATAGTTTCTTGTTGACAGTTACACGGTCCCCAGTGGTTCAATTCCAAGAATTTTTCTAAACGTATGATAATATTATTTTATACACATATTCAATACTAGTGGCCCGCCCTCGCTTCGCTTCGGTGTAGAGCTGTAGTGTAAACTATAGTTTTTGTTCTCAGGCTTGTGCTATAAAGAATGACTTTATTTATATAATTACACGTGTTATTGTGAGTTAACCATAAAAGATAGACATATGCTGTTGCGGGATATTTTTTAGACAATTTTATGTAGAATATTTCCGTCATACATGATTTCTATGTAACTTTAACCATTAAGGCTGCACCCGCGACGGAAGCTTAAAAAATGGAGTAACTTCTCCCGTTTTCCCAACATTTCCCTTCACTACTCTGCTGCTATTGATTGTAGCGTGATGAAAAGTATACTATAACCTGCCCAGGAGTATGAAGAATAATTGTACTAAGTTTCGTTAAAATCCGTCGAGTAGTTTTTGTTTCTATAAGGAACATACACACAGACAGACAGACAGACAGACAGACAAAAATTTTACTGGTTGCATTTTTGGCATCAGTATCGATCACTAATCACCCCCTGATAGTTATTTTAAAAATATATTTCATGTACAGAATTGACATCTCTACAGATTTATTATAAGTATAGATTTTATTTATAATTTCAGCGCTGGGAATCCCTCACAGACCGGACGAACATTCACGTGACATTCAACAATTCCGTAAAATGAGTAAGCTGCCTCGTATCCATTTAGCTTTGTGTGCTTTGAGCATACTTTCCAATTCGAAGCAAAGCTAAGTAACACTTAAACAAAGTTTACATGTGCTTGTGAACTGTTATTATCCCTAACCGAGGAACTTGCGAACTGTTTTCAGTTTCATTTTTAGTACTTACTTTTTCTGATCTTTTCTCTACTTTGAAATAAGTAAGAAGTTTTTAATAAAGTTACAAGAATATATAATGATTTGGTCGGGGTCACTTGCTCGACTTTGTCAATTTAACTTTATTATCAATTAAATTATATAAGTCCATAAATAAGGATATAAGATTTAAAGGAGTAGAAGAAGGTTACTGGTGATACCATTTAACGATACTATTCAATAAAAAAAATGAATGTGCTTATGACCACACGACTGAAGTGAAACTTCTTTAGCTCCATCTGTATGTATATATATACATATGTATATGTGTGTGTGTTTGTGTACAATATATATGTTGTACACACAATATGTATATGTACATACATGTATGTACATATACATATTTCATTTACTAGCTGTAAGAGAAAGAGAGAAAGAAAATGTGAGGGCGCACTGCTTTCTCTTGCTTATAACCCCCACTCAACTCCCGTTCGCCTCGCCCGAACACACTTATCGTAACGCGTTACGCAATCGCCAGCTTATCCCCCAAGTCAAGCGTGCGTAAAGAAGTTTCACTTCAATAACTTAGCTAAGATTATTGCTTCTTCTTTCCAGTTGGCATTACTCTCGTAGATGAAGAAGTAGAAAAAATACGTACGTAATCACACAGTTTTATGATTATTTTTGGAGTTTACTCCTTAAGGATCGATTTGTATATATAAGGGGCCCGGTATGAGAAAAAAGAGAGAAGTAAAATATATCGATGAATGACCTCGTTACGTTTTTGGTGCGCATCCTATGTCGCGCAACTTTGACAAACAAAGATGACGGATTGACATTAATATTTTTTTTTAAATCTGAACTGAATTTAGATATTGTTTCTGATAGAGCAATGGGGACAACGAGGTATGGTACAACCATTGATGCGGTATTTTCAAGATTCGTGAACCACGTATCTACGAACGTCCATGTGTCTTATTTTAGTTTCCTATTAACCACTTGTCACTGTAATTAATAATGCAGACAATGTTGATTTAATTAATATTTAAAAAAAATGATAATAGTCTGATAATAATAATTACATAATTTATCAACATTCCTAATGATATATTTATGCGCATCTGAAATTCACTATTGTAAAAAGTTTAATGTAAAATATTTCGTTGATTAGTTATAATAAATGTATATGAAATGAATAAATATATATTTATATATGTATACTATTTTCATTAATTTGTTAATTTACCCTTTCATACAGTATAAATTTTTTTTAAGTTAAAAAAACTCTTTTTGCGTCTGGTTAGACTATCGAACTTAAGGAGTAAACTCCAGTCGTGCGTCGGAGCTGACACACACATTTTTTTTTAATTTCATTAAGGCTAAGAACTCACGGAACGATTTCCATCCGCGCTCGCCACGGCTGCGGGACTAAATGTAGGTAAAACACAAAAGCAAATTTTAATGGCGCAATTTACGGCCGCTGAGTGCGCGGGTTACGTGGGACACGACATGCTTAGTCAGATCTTCTTCTGTTATATTACGAGCATTCTCGCAATTGATGCGGCAGTGGCATTTCACCAATGAGTTAAAAACAAAATGCTCCGTGAGTTCTTATATTAAGAGCGTGCGCAGCGTTAGGCGGGACATGGAGCGAGCGTCCGTTTGGCGTGCTTGTTTCATGTTATTTCATAGAGCAGCGCTGCGTGAAGCGGATCTCCTACGCGGCAGGTCTCAATGAAATACCATTAAAATTGCACGCGGAGCGGACGCCAGCGCCGTGGCCCGCTTAACGCACCTTGGCTCTTAAATGACATGGAAAGTACATAAACGAACTCGGAAATGTCTTGTTTTACAGTGGAGACTCGAGTTATAAATCTGAGGCCGTCTAAAGGAGGACGTGAGTAACCCAAGTGATGTGTAACGTCTCAATATTATTTAACGATAATGACGTACAAAATGAACTTTCTCCCTGTTGTCTACAGAGGAGTTGGAGCGACTCGAGTCTTTGGCTGAATACTTCAATAACATCGTTATGGCTGAAGCTTTGAGTGAGTAGTTCTTATGTTGTTTGCGCTTTGTATGCAACTAAGTATAAAAAAGTTGTATAATTTTATTATGGTATGCAACATTTAATCAAGAGAAATGTAAGCATTTCATTCGTTTGTTTGGGTTTGTTGGTGGTGAATGACTGGAAAGTTTTAGCAAATATCACTTGTGTAAAATATTGAATTTTTGTTTGCAGAAAGAGAGACGACAACTCCATATAATGAAGAATCCACTTATCCTATGGAACCTAGTGGAGACGAATCTAATCGAAAGGTACATTTTGTAAATTTTCTACACTTGTATCATTACCTGTCTAAGTTAATTATTACATATCATTTAATCTAAATAAATAAAAAAACTGGCTAAGTGCGAGTCGGACGCAATAATAAAAAAAAATGTGATGTAACTAAAAATTTACGGTTTTCGCAATTTTTCCTTTATATGTGCTATAAGACGTTGCTTCGTACCAAATTTCAAGATTCTGAGTTCAGGGGAAGTACCCTGTAGGTTGAAATTTCCCTGCAAGCTTCGGAAATTTTCGAATTCATAAACGGCTTTATCCTTTGATTGCGTTGGCTTAGAAGTTAGATTTTTTCACAGCTCGCTCCACTCACACAGAGCTGGACGAAATGAACGGAAAGGAATTCGCACATATCCGCCACTCGAAATTAGATGAACGACTTTAATGTCTACCAAAAAAGTTACATTTCATTAGTGGACAGGTTATAATAAACAAATTTACGAGAAAGGCCTCAAGCTTTTACAGTCATTAAAAAAGGTAGAGTTGAGGTCAATTTTGTAGATATCATAGTACCTACTTAATAGTAACCATACGACGTACCTATATTCATAATAGCTAGGTACTTAAAGTTCTATCTAATCTATAGTTTAAAATTATGTGTAAATATGGCCATCAAATTCTTTCAGCTGCTTTTGCGTGATCGAGTAACAAACATACAAACTTTCACATTTATAATATAAATACAATATATACTAGTATAAAGCATTTCGGATTTTCAAATAAATACATACGTTGTCGAAAGAGTGGTTACCGAAAAGTTTGTGTAACGAAAACGAGATTGCATTGCCACTGCTGTGGTTTTAACTCCATCAAGTACATTTGTCATAATCTACCGCCAATCAGTTCCCTTCGGCCACCTATAGTTGTTTGATAAATGTTACATGCAATTGGAGGAGCTTTTAAGGGGAACCGCATATTTAGAGTGCTCTTGTGATATATGTTAAAGTTAATTTACAAGTCCCGAGGCCATATCAATTTATTTTTTACTGATGACCCGACTAAAAAATATTTAATATATGGTGAGCGCCGCATGCAAATTAATTTTGTAGTGCATGAGATCAATCCGACCTCATTCTGTGTTCGGGGGCCTTCCGGTCAGATCGTATGTTTTTAAATCTTGTCTTCATGCATACATAGAGAATAATTCCTGTCAAGTTCATAAGTATGTATGAACATAGGTTTGAGTTTAACGATGTAAGTTTTAAATTTAATTTAAGTCATCATATTACCTATCTAAGAAATGTTTTTTAGTAAAATAATACCAACTGCGTTGAAAACCTTCTTTTTTTATCAGTCTTTAGATAATATTAAGTTTTTTTATATTCCTTAACTTATAGTTTTAGCACAGTGGTTATAGTGAATTATTATTATAGAAGTGTTAATTAAATTAGCATTTTATATTTTTAGTTTGAAGATCTAAGGGTAAGAAAAAAAAGCACATTATTATTTTAAATTTCATTTTTATCTCGTATTTACCTGTACCCCAAGAGGTATATTTTTTTTTGTCATAACCTAACGATGATTTTTATCAATATAATTAGTAGAAAATATAAAGGTGTATTTTTTTACAATTTGAGAACTCTAGAAACTTTTATCTTTTCCGTGGTGGAAAATATTCATATTAATGAACGTAAAGTACTTAATTTAATTCTGCATATTAACCGATTTTTTGTCAACAAAAACTTTCTGTCATAATATAAATAAATAAATATTTCCAACACTCACACCAATTAGCCTTGGCCCAAAGTAAGCACTGTAAGGCTTCTGTTATGAGGATACTAGGGTAACGGATAGAATAAATATACTTATACATATATAAGTATATTTATATAGAAATACATATTAAATATCATTCATGACCGGAGTACAAAGGGACTGAAACCCTGGACCTCTCGAGTCGGCGACACCACACCAGAACATATCTTCTAAAGCGGTCCAGAATTCTTTCTAGTAAAATTTTCTTTGGATATAAACATCTAGCAGTTAAATGCTTAAATAAACAAAACTATAATAACTACTATCAAATATTGCTTCCAGGGCATCGGTGATGAAGAAATCACGTATTCAGACAGTGTCAGAAGAATTTTAAAGAAGCCTGTTCGATCTAAAGCCAACACAACACCAAAAAGAGCAATCACTTAAAAATTAAAATTATGATTACAGAAATATTTATTTTGCAAAATTTTGTTTTCGTACGATGTACTTACCTAATTTTTACGCTTAAGTTTTTTCAACGAAGTCGATTTATAATTGAGTCCCCCATAGATGCGTTATTATCGGTCGATATTATCGGATCGTTATTGTTGCTTATATCTGTTTAAGTACATTTTGCATTAGGCCGAAGCTACACACTGCTGCGATAATAACGACGCAATAGAATTATGACGAAATAACGCATCCTATATTATCGACGAATTATGACGCGCCTATGGGCTGGGAATTGTAAGTCAAGATTCAAGGAGAATTGTACTCGCTAAGAATAGGTTAGAAACTTTTACTTTATGTGTTATTGCGAAACAATAAGTGCACCAGTTACAAATCTAATGGTCGTAGTGAAAAGGTGAAAGGTTACACGCGCCAGCTGCACAATGAGGAGGCTCGTTTGATTCTGCAAAGTGGGCCCGGGGACGAGGCCAGCTCACAACAAACCATAAAAGGCGTCCCGGAATCAAATGACACCATTCAGCCACTCGCCACCCAGACCAATGGCTATTGGCTTTGCGCAACTGCCTTACTTTTATTGTGCGGTCTTTTAGAACTGTTGTTCTGTAGTAACGAACCGCTAACTTAAACTGAGTAGATATCAAGATGTACAACTTTTTTCTCAAGACTACGATAAGTTGCTATCAAAGTACTTAATTGAAATGTTTGTCACTTATATGTCTGCACTTTGATAATTTTGTTTGATTTGTATACATACACTGGAACTTAGATAAAAAGTTCATCAACAGCCTATCCTAGTCCACTGCTGGACATAGGCCTCTCCAATTGCACGCCACTCAGATCGATCTTGGGCTACTCGCATCTAGCTCCTGTCAGCCACCTTGCGCAAATCGTCACTCCATCGTGCCTGAGGACGCCCTACACTACGTTTGCCTAGACGCGGTCTCCATTCCAGAACTGGTCTACCCCAACGGTTATCGGTTCTTCGCCAAATATGGGCAGCCCACTGCCACTTCAACTTGCTAATCCGGTGGGCTATGTCGATAACTCTGGTTCTCTGTCGGAATACCTCATTTCTGATGCGATCCTTCAGAGAAACGTCGAGCATAGCCCGAAAAGTAAAAGTTATTAAACATTAATTACACTAAGACAAACGAGTTCAAACTTGATACAAATATGAATTAAGATAAGATGGATAAGATAAGATCATAACTCAGATATACCTATTTCAAAACAAATTGTATGAATGGATTCTTGCTGGCCAGGGCAGATCATATTTCCGTTGCATAAGTTATTCTTGCACCTAGACTCCACTTATACTTAACATAAGGTCAAACCTTAGCCCCGGTACGTGAAATTTATTTCGCCATTTATAAAAAAAAAGCTTAAAAAGTATTCTATTCCTTAAATCGCAGAGCGCAGCATTTTCATTTAAATATTGCGCTTTGAAATTTGAATGTATTTAAATAGTTTTGAACCAGCCAAGGCTAAATATAATGTAATCACAGCAGTCTGTGACAGATAAAAATGAAACTAATATTAAGAACTCCGTCATAACGAATGAGAAAGCGATGGAGCCTCTTCTGAATTTCAAATGAATGGACGTAATCCATATTTCAGTGGAGGTGGCAGCCGCAAGCCGTGCTGAACCGGGGATTATGAGCTAGCCTCAAATCCATCGGTTGATGAAAAACTGAGGAGACCAGATTGTCTTGTGCAATGGATTCTGGGTTGCTCTACAGTTGCATTTAATTACGCTAGACCGGCACTTTCGCGTCGAGCGACCGACGCGATATTTTAACTAGATTCTCGTCAGCTCACAAAATGTGTTCGGAGTTTCGAGCTTGCCAAATCAGATTTTTGGAAAATTGGGCAATATTGAGACATGATGTAGTAAGTATCTTCGGTGCAATATAGATAATTGTAAGGTTGAATCAAATATGCGATAATTCTGATAAGCTATGATTTTAATTAAGTTGTAATGTTCATGTTTATTTTTTTTAAATTACAAATTGAACTACAAATATCCTGTGATCCTGTCACATCGAAATTCGATGATTTGAAATTCATAATATTATTAATCATAATTATGTTTTATGAAACATAGCCTTACTCTCACACAATACCTCCTAAATTTACACATAAAGACTACTTATTAAAAATATTGTTGGAGACTTTTCATCTTTCACGAATTAAAAATGTACATGTAACAGTAAATGAATAATATACACACTAAGGAGAGTTCATGCTATTTGCTAGAGGTATTCTTTTGATTGTCATTGAATTTGTATCTTAGTGCATACTTTACGGTTCTAAATTAAACCGGTATTACTAGTTCGTATGGGAAACTGTTTAGGTCATAGATATATTGGCTTGACGAAAAATCTCGCTACTTTGGTATTGTATGAGTGACATTCCAATTTGACTTTGTAACGCTCGAGTCGCGGCCGCGGCTGCTGTGGAGCGCAACGAGTTTGATCGCCGTCGGTATTGTACATGACAGATCAGTAAGCTCCCGGGCTACCCTATACATGTTTGTGTCCCGGTGGATTACGAGACATTCAAAGACCCTAAGATTTTCTAATCAGCGATTTACCTCGGAAGAACTAGCGATACATCACACTAATATTATAAAGGCGAAAGTTTGTGAGTGTGTATGTTTGTTACTTCTTCACGTCTAAACGGCTGGAGCGATTTTAATGAAATTTGGTATGGAGTTAGTTAACACCCCCTGGATTAACACATAGGCTACGTTTTACTGCGGGAAAATATCCCTAATAAACCGCGGATAACAACGCGGGGCACAGCTAGTAGTAAATAATAATAGAACAGGTTATCCAAAACCGTTACATTTCTTCTGTTTAGTTTTATCTCAATATTGCTTGATATACATAGATACCTAAAATTGACAGATGTTTGAGTAGAAAATTTCATACTTAACATAATGTGTTGCTGATCTTACATTACACACGTGCACAACTTCACCCATAGCATGTGAGCGTGACAGACATAAGGCATCAGTTATCCTGTGTATTTTATAGGTACCTATTACTTGTTGTCCACAAACAATATTGGTACTTCACAGTATTTTATTTCGATCGCAGTCCAACATGTGATAGCGGTAAAATAATTAAATGTGAAGTAATATAACTTTAAACAAAGTGTCCTTGATATGTAAATGTATTTTCCAACTCACTGGCTTTTAATTAAAAATAGTTTTTAACTGATATTACATTGAAACGGCTAAATACTAACAAAGAGTCATTATTTACGAATACCTAACTACATATTAACAAAAGAACATTGATTACGACACACAAGCAACACAGTTCTCATGTAGGTATTTTTGTAGATTTATTACCGGTTACTAGATCGAAAGTCACATGGCAGTAAGACAGTGGAGAACTATTACGTTTAATGATAATAGCAACTACAGGCAGTGCCATGGGGCGGTGCTATTAAATTTAATAAAACATATAACAACCATAGATTACAACAGACTTTATCTAATTCAATTATATTTCTTTGAGGCTGGGCGCAAATGAACGGTTTCCTGATTCGATTTCCTGATCAGGAATTTACATTCGGAATTCCATGAGGCTAGCGCAGACGTTTCGTTTTTTAATTGGGTACTGTGCGCCCCGTTGAAAATTTTATATGTAAGAACGTGCATACAAGTCTTAGAATCGGAATTTCAGATCAGGAAACTGAATCAGGACCCCATACATATGCGCCCAACCTTAAGCTTCTTTAACACGGTATCATAACAATTAACATACGTAAATGTTGGGTTTATCTAACCTGAGAAAAGAACCTGGAAGCTAATTATATAACTTTAACTACATATTTCCGCGATCTCCTGCAAAGCTAAGGAAAAGTATCAATGTGACAAAACTTATTTCTTTCCCGACAATGAAATGAAATGAAGTAGAAAACGTTAGGCCAGCTATACTCTAAGTGTGTTCCGCGGAACCCTAGGGTTCCGTGATACCTCTGTCGGGGTTCCGCAAGAATTTAGAAATAAAAAAATCAAAACACCTCTCTCTGGTCGCTCCGCGGCTGTGCGGACTCCGCGGCCGCGCGGAGACAAAACGCTATGAATGTTATTTATTTATTTATTTGTATTTGTATAAGCTTGTGTTACATTAGCTGGTACAATATCTCATAAGTTTGGTCTCAACAATTTTATACTTGTACAACGCGTTCGCTCTAAGTTTGCCGGTCTGTGGAATGCGCGTACCCTCCCCCACGTGACAACAAAACTTATAATGTGTCATAGTTTTACCCAAATATCTAACGTACACAATTTTTATTGTTACAATTAAATAAAAAATTTCGAACGTCATACACTCATACCTATCGCCAGCGGCAAACTTAAAACGAGCGGGTAGTATACTTGTAAGCGCTCAGTCTCTTTGATAAAAGCCGCCTCTGAATTAGACGCTATAGTTGTCAACTAGCGACTTTCGTCTCTAACTTCAAAGGATAAAGTCGATATTGTTTACAACGCTATTTTTAAATTTCTGTTTTTATTTTTGCTTTTTGTTTATCAAAGGTGCCGACTCGAGTATTTTCGAGAATATTTGAGATCGAGTCTAGGACTAAGTATAAAAGCGGCGATCGCGCGTTGGCGTCGTCAGTTGATGATTAGCGTTCGGAGCGATAAGTTACTACCTACTTACAAGCTCGCTAGCGAGAAACTGGTGTTCATTGTTTTACTGCCTGCTGTATTCTGTTGTCTCAGTTTTATACATTTCTTCCCTGTAGGTTCTAAATTTAGTCTCTTATACGCAGTAACGATTGTGCATTATTTAAACCCCACTATCCTGACTTGTAACATTATAAATAAAGAAGAATGGAACGTTGGCTTAAAGGTGTTAAACGTGTTCCAACAACATCTTCTAATGACGCTGAATGTTCAAAAGCAATGCGCGCGGAGAATTTAGCAATCACCGATCCAGAAGATGATGCCACGAGTGCCACGACGTCAAGCTCGACGGTTTCAAAGACGAAAAAAAGGAAGTATGATGAATCTTATATCAGTTTCGGATTTGTTGATTCCAACGGCTCACCTCTCTGCATGCTCTGTAGTAAACTGCTTCCTAATAGTTCCATGGCACCTGCCAAATTGCGTCGACATTTAGAAACCGTACACCCCGAGACTAAAGACAAGAATAAAGAATTTTTTGTTCGCAAAAAAGATCAGTTATTAGAAAGTCAAAAAAATATGATGCATGTAACACAAACTACCAACGAAAAGGCCACGGAGGCATCATACTTAGTTAGCTATCGCATTGCACAAGCAGGTGAAGCGCACACTATCGCTGAGAAATTAATAAAACCATGTGTATTAGACATAACAAAATGTATGCTTGATGAAAAATCTGCAAAGCATCTTTCTACTGTTCCGCTATCAAACGATACTGTTTCACGACGAATCCATGATCTGGCAAGCTACGTCAAACAAGAACTAGTTACACGTCTACAAAATACACGATTCGCTTTGCAAATGGACGAGTCGACTGATGTCGCTGGTTTGGCTATCCTGCTGGTTATTGTGAGATATCCATATAAAAGTTCTTTTGAAGAAGACATGCTTATGTGTTCATCGCTGCTTACAAACACTACCGGGGAAGAAATTTTTAATAAAATAAATATATTTTTTGAAGAACATAATCTCAGTTGGAACAATTGCATTGACATTTGTACAGATGGGGCCAAGGCGATGACAGGTAAAACAGCAGGAGCAGTGTCACGAATGAAAAATAAAGCGCCTAATTGTAGTTCCAGTCATTGTATTCTGCATAGACAAGCACTTGCGATGAAGCAAATGCCGTCTAATCTAAAATTAGTTATGGATGAAGCGGTAAAAATAATTAATTTTATCAAATCACGACCACTACAATCCCGATTGTTCTCATTATTGTGTGAAGATTATGGCAGCAAACATAAAACACTGCTGCTCCATACAGAAGTGCGATGGCTGTCTCGGGGAAAAACTTTAACAAGGCTATTTGAACTTAGAGCCGAGTTACAAATGTTTCTTTCAGCAGATACTTCTTTTAATTTGAAGGACCGTTTGTATGATAAAACTTGGTTGTTCCGATTGTCTT